ATTTTGGATTTGGCTTACTTTTGCTTTTCTATTTACTGGAAGTGTATTATTGAGTTGTTCATTTGAAATCTTTCTAGATTTTTGATGTGAAAATTTATTGCCATAAACTTGCCTCTTAATATTGCTTTTGCTGTTTTTCATAGGATTTAGTATCTTGTGTTTGTATTTTCATTTACTGCAAGAAATTTCTATATTTCATTCTTAATTTCTTTCTTCACTCATTGGTTATTGAAAAGCATGTTGTTCGATTGCCATGCACTTGTATCATTTCACATGTTCCTCTTGCTATTGATGACTAGTTTTATTTTATTGTCATTAGGTAAGTTATTTGACATGCTTTTGAGTTTTTAAAAACTTTTGAGACTTGATTCTGTCCTAACATATGACCAACCCTGTAGAATGTTTCATGTGCTGATTAAAGTAATGTGTATTCTGCAGCAATTGGGTGAAATATTCCGTTAATGTCTGTTAGGTCCACTTGGTCTGTGGTGCAGTTTAAATCTGATGTATCTTACTTGATTTGCTGTTTAGATGGTCTGTCCAAAGCTGACATTAGGGTGGTGAACTCTCCAACTATTACTGTATTATAGTCTATCTCTCTCTTTAGATTTAGTAATATTTGTGTTATATACTTAAGTGCTCCAGTGTTGACACGCATATATTTAAAAGTGTTATATTATCTTTCTGAATTGATCTCTTTATTATTATATAACTTATTTTTGGTCTTTTTTTCAAAGCTTCTTGACATCTGTTTTGTCTAATATAATTATAGCTACTCTGCTCACTTTTTGTTTCTGTTTGCATGTAGTATCTTTTTCCATTTCTTCCCTGTCAGACTATGTGTGTCTTTACAGATGATGTGAGTTTCTTGTCAGAATATTGATGGGTCCTGTTTTTTCATCCCTTCAGCCAATATATATCTTTTCAATGAGAAATGTATATTCAAGGTTATTATTGATAGGTGAAGAGTTGTTCTTGTCATTTTATTGATTGTGTTCCCATCTTTTGTTCTTTACTCACTCTCTTTTTATTTTTGAAGTTCGGTTGCTTTCTATAGTGATAAAGTTTATTTATTTTTTTATTTTTTTTTAATAAGAAAATGGTTTTATTCCTAAATTTTAGTCCCCATACAGTTTACAAATACACTTTTACTCTGATAATACAGCTTTGCAACTAGCAAAACAGTTGCACTAACACCCATAAATATAGGTGGGGAGACAATTAACATTCACTAATGTTTCTCTACATAAACTATTCTTTTAATGTCTTTTTTTTAAACAGTTGCAAATAGACTACATAATATACGTGGGCAAAAAGGCAATTAAGTGAATCTCTTAAAACACTAAATGTATAATAAACAGCATATTATCAACATTTACATGATTCACATCAAAATGATGACATCCTAAAACGTATTCCTTTTAAAGGATAGATTTATCAATAAAATATTACATATCTTTTAATGCTCTGGTACAATACTTCATATACTGCAGGAAAATTAATTGTAGGTCTAGTCATCAGCTTAATCAGGGATCCTTTTCCCATTAGCTTGTATTAATAAAAGAATCACAATTAGGTCATAAATAAACAGGCAAATTATTAATTACATGATTTGAGGCTTAGGATGAAAACTTGTCAAAATTAGTTTGAGATAGAGCAAAGTTATACAACACACTAAAACCAACTGTTTAATAGTTTTTGCCTTGTGTGAACTGCCGTAGTGAAAAAGGAACAAATTTTTTAGTGATGAAAGATACAATAAACTATATTTTAGAACTTACTTTTCAAGAGGAAGAAGGAAAAAAGATTTCAACAAAATTAAGGGCAATTACAGATCCTAACAAAGGCATCCTGACATCAGGGAGGCCATGTGCTTGCTATAAGCAAAACTTGATTCCCCCAACAACATACAGATAACAAAAACTGCACTGGGTTTATAGTTATATCTCAGTCTAAGTTTCTCTTACAGATACTAAGCTACAACAAAACACTTCACAACTGCAAACCTTTCCACATCCCCCTGAACTAAAAATAACTCAAGATGTTATTAGTTCTTAAAATCCCCAGTAAAATAAACTCTAAAAATAATCTTGACCATTTTCTTGGCTGTTTCCCCGAAGCAACTGGGCTCTTTAAAGAATGCACACACACACACACACCAAGAAAGTCCCACCCATGTTTTCTCATCCCATTTAGACACATTTGAAAAGACCTTGATTTCAGTGGGAGAGTTTCAGAAGGGCCACAACGCCAGACATGAAGTGCCTTTTTCTTTAAAAAAAAAAAAGTTATTAAGACTGTGAAATTTGGCTTTGTTTTAATCCCAATATCATGTGCCAGATAATTCTTTTACCCCAAAACATAAAATTCAATACTTACAATTTTAAAGTCCTCAGTGAGCTATGGAATACTGTGCATATTTAATACCTACCAACAACCTAGAAGTAGACGGCATCCATGCACCTGTCACACTGACTTTCCAAATAATCTGATTCACCCATTGCTGCCTGCTCTGGCCCTGGGCTCTCTGTCTTTCTCAGAAACCACCTCTTTGGAACTTTCATTTCCACTACGTTTTTTTAAACCTGTACTTTGAGCTTTCTCCATCATCCCAGCCTCTCTGTCTGATCCCATCCCACGTAAAGTAACCTCATCTGAGAACCTGCAATCACCTTTTACCAAACACATGACAAGCCTTAGCAACCTAGGGACGATGATAACTCTGGCCTTGTCCTAAGTTTACATAAGAACATGATAGTTTGCTGACCTCACGGAAGGAAATCTAAATGAAATCAGTATCTTGTAACAAACAAAGCTAGCCAAGATCAGATATTTCCATTCTGCGTATAAAAACAACTGATCTTAAGCAACAGGCAGAGATGTTAATGCAGGAGATATATTTGTACAATCTTGTTTGCTGGCAAAAGACTTTACTCTCAAAGTCAAGTCAAGACAAAACCAAAGCAAAATGGAGAATGAGTCAATGTAACAATGCAATTAAAGGAACAGGATTCAAGCTTCTTGCTGCAAATACTGAAGTGGAATCGTTTTCTTTACAATTTTGACAAGAAGACAGTAGTCATGACATTTCCCTAATAAGGGAATACCTTCAGGCCACACCTATGTTCTGAAGCAATTCAAATTCAATGAATATTGGGGGGCGGGAGTCAGGGGCTAATGTCCATTTTATCTGTGAGAATGGAAGCCAAACTACCTCACGGTCTCCAGGGACTAAGAGACCCCAGAAAGGAACAACTACCAGGGCTGGATCTAGGCCTTCCTTTCATGAGCCAAAGTCAAAAGAATCCAGGGAGACCATAACTTCACGGCAAAGTTGCCATAGCATTTTATTACCGTTAGGAAAGTCAACCAATGATATTTTCATTGAAATATCTGCACTGAATGATGATTCAACATAAGAGGCAAGGAGGGATGTCTTTGGAGAAGGCACTTAAGTTAAGGTGGAACATTAGCAAATCTCACCGGATGGCTAAAACTAAAATGAGCTCATTCAACCCAGCTGGAGGTCTGTTAGGGCTATTCCTTCTCACTGTGGCCTGACTGAAAACCAGTGGCATAAGAAAGTATCACATTTCCCAAGTCTGGGGATGCTGAAATGGGGTGGTGCTGCTCTCAAAAGCCCTGTGTCCCTAAACACAACCATCCTCACAGGATCAGTTTCCCTAATGCTGGTTTCAAAAATAAGCTCAGGGCTGGCAGAAATTGTTCAGGAACCTTCTTGAAGGCCCTCTCTGAGAATTAATTCAGTCTGACTTTCAGTTTATCCCAGCTACTGTAAGCACCTTTGGCTTCCCAAGGTCACTAGCAACTTCTACTTTTGCTAATATCCTTGGTTTTCCATGGCACTGGTTGTGACTGTCTGTTAAGACTAGTGGCCCCCCAATTAACTACACCTCCACTTCTCACCCTTTTCTTAAATCTGGGCTGGGCTTGTGACTTGTTTAGTAAGTAGAGGGCACACTCCAGCTCTCTTCTGATTAGAAAACAATCATCATCATTATTACCATCATCATTATCATCAATAGAGCACAGTAGAAGGGACACTGTGATAATTCTGGACTTAAGTCTTCAAAAGGCCTGGCCACTTCTGCTTTTGAGCTCTTGGGAGCTCTGAGCTACAAGTGAGAGGTCTAGCTACCCTGCCAGCTAAGCCAGTGAAAGAGACTACATGGAAAAGAAGAGACCCAGGACTGCAGGAAGAGAGAGAGAAGCCCAGCCATCCCCGTCTCTCCACTGACCTGCTGACCATGTAAGTGGCCACCTCTAGGCTGGCAGAAGAACAGCCCAGCTGAGCTCAGCTCAGACTGAAGAACAGTTGGGGGTGGGGTTGTTTTAGGCCACTAAAGTTTTGGACTAAGTTTGTCAGCAACATTTGACAACCAAAAACACTGGTCATTCATAGATGCCTTTTTTCTAAATACAAGACAATTACTCAAATGCAAAGAAAATATGGCAAATGTTTTCCCACCACAACCTTCGCAGTCGGCAGCTGAAAACTGTAATTGGTCATAAGCTGAAAAAAAAAAAAAGCCACACTTCTTATCTTAATTCGTAAATATCCATGATTATTTTTCTATGACTCTTCAATGCCAGTGCAAAGGTAGACAGTCTCAGGCACTGGCTTAATTCTCATTTAGCCAAAAATATAAGTCATCAAAATGAATTATCCACTACTGGATACATGATGGTAAATGAGATTGTTCTCACTTTTCTAGGATGTTGTTACTTAATTTTCCCCAATTATTTCTTCTTATCCCCCACAATGAGAGAAAAAAAAAATTAAACTGGTTAAGGTTATAAAAAGAAAAAAAAAAAGCCTATAACTAGAATTTGAATCCCCACAATCTGCAAAATACGGCACACAATTTAACTGCTTCCTCAATTTAAAACAAAATTCTATAAAATATAATGTTATCTACATTGTAGAGATGATTTCTTCTTATCTGAGGAAATGAGTAATTAGGAAGCAGATATTGTTGAGTTAAAATACAGTGGTCTTTAAATGTTTTCAAATTTTGCTTATCAAAAGGTAGTCAACCACAATACAAGCCTTTCAAATCCAAATACTGTCTTCACATCAACTTTCTTGCATTTGTTCTTGATCTTTTTAGGGAGAGAGTGAAGTCCACATCTATTTCTGTGCTGAAGTTTTGGAAGGTTTGCTCATCTGAAACTTTTCTGCTGTTGCATCAGCCCCACATTTTCATAGACTCTAGCATTGTGTTCTCTCATTTCTGCACAGGGTGGCGTTGGAGTACAAGGCGGGAGCGGGCTCTGATCTCCACTCATCTGGTCCGCTAGAGAATACTTAATATTTGTATATTCGTGCCCTTTCCTCTTGCTTTTCTGCTCTTCTTCAATCCTGCGCTGTAGTGTTTCAATATAATGCTGGACCGCCATATAGATAAATCGGTACTGTGCTTCTGTCTGGACCATCCCTGACCTCTGAGATCGCACCATCTGGATGGTTTTGGGAATGTCAATGTCGCAGTCAACACCTTTCTCTCTGATGATGTCAATAAGAATATCAATCACAATGAACGTCTCTGTCCAGCCAATTCCAGCACTGCAGTGCACCACGACCAGCCCTGCATCCATGATGCTCTCCTGCTTGTGGTGCACCTCCTCCAGGAAGTCCAGCACACCCCCAGGGTCGCTGGGCACTCCGTGGTCCGGCCAGGTCCGAAAGTGGTATTGCCAGACCATTCTCTCCGTATTCCCCTGGAGTAGAGCTTGTCCAACCTTTGAAAGTTTAAGTTCTCTTAGCGTATAGTCATGAGCAGCACTTTCTTTGGCGTTCCTAACATGCATGACCCCATATTCTTTGAGAGCATACTCATCAGGCCAGTATTTGACACATTTACTCTCTCCTCTCTCCACTTCTTTCGTTGTCATAACAATCACTCGGGAGTTTTCTTGGAACACCATCCGCCAAAAGTCGTTCACCGTGTTTTGCAGACAGCCTTGTGTGGCAATGTAACTCTTTTTGGGCTTTGAATTGTTGCACTTGGTTTCAAATTCAGGCATGATTATATTTGCATTTATGTAATCCGAAACAGGCTCATTGGGATCCCCGTTGTGTAGGACAACCCTGGTATGATCAAAGGGCAGGATGTTTTTCTATCTATTTTTGTTTTTGTTTTCTTGCCTTTGACCCTCTTTTCGTCTACAGAGAAGTTTGCACTCCTGTTGTTGTAGTGTCTCAAATTCTTCCCAAAAGCCTTGTTTGACTTTATCTGTGGTCTCAGCTAATTTGCTTAGTTCTCGAACTCTGCTTTCTATTTCAGCAGCATTTATATGAGTCGTGCTAACGGGCTGCTTAAGTTGTAGTACTGTACCCAATGTTTCCACCATAGGATTCTTCTAGTAATGTTCCACAAGATCTGTCAAAGAATCAAACCGTTCTCCTCCATCATCATATTTCAGTTCCTGACAGCGAATCATGACATGGGTCACTTTAGACTTGCCGTCACTGCTCTCCCCTTTGTCATCACTGGTGCACACAGAGAGAACAAAATCTCCAGGGTGGCTCTGGCTCTCTCGTACAAGAAAGCTACCATGCTTTCCTTTTTCAGTTAATCATTTCTCTGCTTCTTTCCCAGAGAGGTGTCCATGAAACTACCTTTCAGAGGTAGGATCTGCACAGTTCAGAGGATATTTAAGCTCCATAACATCTCCATTCTTCTCTTAATTGCCCATGATGTTCCATGTAATACTGGACCAACTCAGCCAAAGTGGCAAACTTCTCCCCTCCATACAGGTCATAGTAATCACCAGTGTTCTGAATCTTGATGTGAGTGACAGCTCCATTTCTTCTAACAGAAAGTGTGAAGTCTCCAGGGTTACTTTTACGAGGCCTTGCCAAAAAGCTGCCATCAACTCCTCTTGTCAATAGTAGGTTTTCTGCCTCCACACCAGTGATATTCGGGTGAAACCATCTCCGCGATGTCATGTTCCTCCTGCCCTCCGGCTCCGCGACGGACCCGCTCCTTGCTCAGGCTCCGCTGGGCTCAGTCACATCAGGCTGGCCCGAGGGAGGCCCGCTCGGGACCGGACGCAGGGCAGAGCCAGCTGGCCGCACACAGACCACCCTCCAGGCCTGGGGATCCTGGAGACTGTGCAGCCACCCCCCGGCCCGGCTTGCTCCTCCTCCAGTGATAAAGTTTGATTTCTTTTCCTTTCTCCTTTGTTATGTCAGCTCTACCAGTGAGTTTTACAGTTTCCAGATTTAAGACTCACTTGAGAATTTCTTCTAAAACCAGTCTAGTGGTGATACATTTCCTTAGTTTTTGCTTGTCTGTGGAATGTTTTATTTCTCCTTCATTTCCAAAGGATAGCTTTTCTGGAAATCAAATTTTTGTCTTATAGTTTTTTATGCCAGACACCTTAAATATATCAGCTCATTATATCCTGACCTGCAAAGTTTCTGATGAGAAATTTGCTGTTAGTTTAATGGAGATTCTCTTATACGTGACTTGATGCTTTTCTCTTGTTGCTTTTAGAATTCTTCCTTTTTCTTTAATGTTTGACAATTTGATTCTAATGTGTCTTGGAGAGGACCTGTCTGGGTTGAATCTATTTGAGGTTGTCTGAGCTTCCTGATTTTAGTTACTGAAAGTCTCTGAAGCATTCCAAAACTGGATGATATGGTAAACACTTAACATTCTGGACAACACTGGATGATTGTTCTTTTATGGCCACTAACAGTGTGTAACATTTTTAGCTAACTCTGATTTCAGGAGCACCGTCTTTTGTAGTAAGAGCTCTATTCTTCACTAAACAGAAAATAAAATAGGGCATCATAAATGGAGGATTTAGCTTTCCAATCATCACTTCATTAGAATCATGAACAACAACTGTAACTGCTTTTCCAGGGCCTGCACAGCCTGTGGTCTTGAGCAATTTGCCAGAACAATTTATTTATTATTATTTATTATTTATTTTATTTTATTTTATTTTTTTAATTGCATTTTAGGTTTGGGGGTACATGTGAAGAACATGCAAGATTGTTGCATAGGTACACACATGGCAGTGTGGTTTGCTGCCTTCCTTCCCCTCACGTGTATCTGTCATTTCTCCCCACGCTATCTCTTCCCACCTCCCCACCTCCCCGTCCCTCCTCCATTTCCCCCCAATGGACCCCAGTGTGTAGTGCTCCCCTCCCTGTGTCCATGTGTTCTCATTGTTCAACACCTGCCTATGAGTGAGAATATGCGGTGTTTGATTTTCTGCTCTTGTGTCGGTTTGCTGAGAATGATGGTTTCCAGGTTCATCCATGTCGCTACAAAGGACACAAACTCATCGTTTTTGATGGCTGTGTAATATTCCATGGTGTATATGTACCGCATTTTCCCTGTCCAGTCTATCATCAATGGGCATTTGGGTTGGTTCCAGGTCTTTGCTATTGTAAACAGTGCTGCAATGAACATTCATGTGCATGTGTCCTTATAGTAGAATGATTTATAATCCTTTGGATATATACCCAGTAATGGGATTGCTGGGTCAAATGGAATTTCTATTTTTAGGTCATTGAGGAATTGCCACACTGTCTTCCACAATGGTTGAATTAATTTACACTCCCACTAACAGTGTAAAAGTGTTCCTATTTGACCACATCCTCTCCAGCATCTGTTGTCTCTGGATTTTTTCATGATTGCCATTCTAACTGGTATCTCAATGTGGTTTTGATTTGCATTTCTCTAATGACCAGTGATGATGAGCATTTTTTCATATGTTTGTTGGCCTCCTGTATGTCTTCTTTTGTAAAGTGTCTGGCCAGAACAATTTAAATTAACCTGCTTGGCTAAAGAAGAAGAACTCAGCATGTTAGTAGTGAATTGGTCAATATAAGCAGCTGCCTTGTTTCCAATTTTCTTACAAATAAATCCAATGTCTTCTTTTTCAATATCTGTAATCATCATAATCTTCATTTTACTTAGAAAATGTAATTCAAGATCACTAAGAGCACCAAGTAGTAGAAACTTCTATGTGAGAAGAACATCATCTCCTATTTTTTTCATTGTTTTTATTTTTTATACTAAAATTAGTGTGTAGCTTCTTTCTTTTCACAGCACTTGATCCAGGTGGGTAAGTCAGAAATTATCTAATTATCCATTTGTTTTGGGAGCAGAGAAGCAAAACTGAATAAGCTCAATTTTAGCCTTTCAACTCTGGCTATCTCAAAATGTTCCACCTTTTGGTGATAACCCCTTCCACTAACTCACTGCAATCAATTGTCCCAAGTTACTTAGCTATTTTAATATCCCTAAGATCTACAATGGTAGCTGTGGCTAGATCACATGCTTTAATCATTGTATTTACACTCATTAGAGAAAGTAGACAGGAATACTGAAAAACAACCATTGAGTTCAATAAAGATGTTGTACTATTTGTTATTTAGTTCTATATGTTAAGACATGTCAGTTTTAATTTAAATATCATTTCCATAGCCTACCAGAAAGACTCAGAAATGATGGCTAGATGCAACCCTTTCTGAAGAAACTTATAGGAATATAAGAGAGATCCAGCAATAATGAACATTGACGTGGGGTCACCTCCAGCTTCTATATCTGAAGCCCTAGACAGCACCACCACCATTTTGGCTGCTGCATGTAACCCTTATATCTGTTTCAGAATAGTGGCAGCATCAGATGTAATGGTCATATTACCTTTCTATTTTTACTTTTTTATCCTTTCCTTTTGGTTTATAGCATGTTCTAAGAGCATTAGCAACCTCTTTTGCCATGTAGATATTTCCTAAATTGACCTGAGATGACTTTTCACTCTTTATGGGAACACTTCCTGTAGCCTCCAGCAGTCCTGGTGGGGATGGCGCTCCAGGATGCCATGTTCTCAGGCATGACAAACTTGGCTGGGTCTGCAAGGGCTTGGAAAGGATGGACATGGATTCCAGCCAGCCATAAAATAACAATATAACTCTATTGCTTTCATGACTCTTCCAGAAGACAGTGCCAATGCCGAGAGAATGGTTTGTGTTTTTTTAATATTTTTCTTTGTTAAAATTCTCGCTTTGTTCATGCATTTTTTTTCCTAATGAGTTGTACAGTTTTAACCTTCTTTCAGTTATGTGGTTTGGAAATACATTTTTCTCAGCTGTAGGTTGGCTTTTTATTGTGTTGATTATTCTCTTTGCTATGCAGAAACTTTTTAGTTTGATGTAGTCCTAATTATTTATTATTGCACCAGAAGTCTGAGCTTTTGGTATAATATCCAAAATATGATTACCAATGCCTATGTCAAGAACAATTCCCTTATGTTCTCTTCTAGAAATTTCATAATTTCTGGTCTTACATTTAGGTCTTTTATGCATTTTGAGTCGTTTTTGTGTATGGTGTAAGATAAGTGTCCAATTTCTTGCTTTTGCATGTGGAAATCTAGTTTTCCCAGCATCATTTATTGAAGATGCTCTTTTTTTGACATTGTGTCCTCTTGGTGCTCTTAACAAAAATTAGTTGATAATATGTGTTTGGATTTATTTCTGGGATCTCTATTCTATTTCACTTGGTCTATATTTCTGTTTGCATGCCAGTATCATACTACTTTAGTTACTATAGTTTTGTAATATAATTTAAAATCAGGAATTATGATGCCTCCTACTTAGATTTTCTTTCTCAGAATTCCTTTGGCTATTTGGGGATTTCTGTGGTTATATGAAAATTTTAGAATTTTGTTCTATTTTTATGAAAAACAACATTGGAAATTTGATAGAAACTACCTTAAATCTACATATTGATTTGGGTAATATGAACATTTTAATAATATTCATTCTTACTATCCATGAACATGAGATATCTTTCCATTTATTCATGTCTTCTTTATTTTATTTAATCAGTATTAGTTTTGTAGCTTTAGGTGTATAAATCTTTCCCTTCATTTTAAAAAATTAATCTTATGCTCGGTATGGTGGCTTATTCCTTTAAGCCTAGCCCTTCGGAAGGCTGAGACAGAATTGCTTGAGGCCAGGAGCTCAAGACCAGCCTGGGCAACATAGAAAAACCCAGTCTCTACAAGAAAAAAAAAAAAAAAAAAAAAAACAGGTGTGGTGGTGAATGACTGTAGTCCCACCTATTCATGAGGCTGAGGCAGGAGGATTGCTTTAGGTCAGAAAGTTGAGGCTGCAGTTAGTCATAATTACATCAATGCACTCCAGCCTGGGTGATAGAGTAAGATCCTGCCAAAAAAAAAAAAAAGCTAATAATAATAAAAATAAAATTTATTCTTCAGTATTTAAATTTTTTGATGCCATTTTAAATAAAATTGTATTCTTGATTCATTTTCCTGCTAAGCCGTTCTTTGTGTATAGAGTTAATACTGATTTTTCTATGTTGATTTTGTATCTGCAATGCTACTGAATTTGTTTATTAATTCTAACAGATTTTTTTATCTTTATGATTTTCTAAATTAAATGCCATGTAATCTGCAAACAGACATACATTTATTTCTTTCTAAATTGAATGCCTTTTTGCTTTTTCTTGTCTGATTGCTCTTGTTAATACTATGATGAATAGGAGAAGTGAGAGTGTGCATCATTTATTTATTTCTTTATTTTACTTTAGGTGCATAGTATATCTGGCATTTCTCCCCATGTTATCCTTCCCCGTCCTCCCCTTCCTCCCCACCCCCTGCTGTCTCTCCCCTACCCTCACCAACTCCCCCCAGTTTGTAATGCTTGAGAGTGTACATTTTTGCCTAGTATTAGATCTTAGTGAAAAACTTTTCAGTTGTTCCCCATTCATTATGATAAGTTTTTCATATATGGCCTTTATTATGTGAAAGGACTTTCCTTCTATATCTAAATTGTCAAAAGTTTTTTTTTATCAAGAAAGGATGCCGAACTTTGTCAAATTATTTTCTGTATCAATTGAAATGATAATGTAGTTTTTAATCTTTCATTTTGTGAATGTACTGTATCATATTGATTGATTTGCATATATTACTGCAGCCTTGGATGGCAGTATTTCAGGAGTGCAGTGGTGTAA